CTCTCCAAAATAATTTGAATACAAGTTTCAATAATAGAATCAGAATCCGATCATACTGAATCCTGATCCGATTACAGCCCTAATAATATGTACAGCACTTTTGTAATTCTTATTTACATGGGCACAAGAGAAAGTTATTCATATAGAAAAGTAAATGATTGACAGTCAATTTGAACTTAGCTTTTTCACCAAACATAACTTAAAGGCCGTTTGTGTTTCCCAAACGGCCACTTATTTTCCTCTCCTCTTGCACCCACCAACGAAAGCAAAAAGTTCCAAGTAGGGAAACTACCCAGATGACAACGCTCTTGTCAACCTCAACCCCAACTCCCTTGTCTATGGTCCAATCTAATAATAGCAACCATTTGAACTTTCAATTTCCACATGAAAGATTTAGAATGAGGCTTAACATTTGCTGCCATTATCTATCACTGTACAAACTTTTTCAAACACCTCAACCTCTCATATCATATGAGCTGAAGTCATGAAATGGTATGCTGCTAGTACAAGGGAGTTGTGTGGTCACAATTCATTATCATGTCATACAGAATGAATAATGCTCCCACATAAGAGCATTTGCGAAAACAAAAAAAAAAATCTATCACTACACAAACTTGTGACTGCCCAAATTGGAATTTACCGAACCTAACAAAACAGTCACGTGAAGCTTTGAATTGTGAACACAAATTCACAGAGAAGAATACAAAGAGTCCTTCATGAACCCTAAAAAAGTTGCTAACAGGAAGCTTCCTAAGTCACTTTAGAAAGTTCACTAAACGACTCCAAAAGAAGACTAGATGCAGACCAACTGACATATAACAAGAAAGAATTTTATCAAGCAGGGAAGCTTTGTTATTGTACTTTGTACATGGAAGAATTTTATTGCCATTGAATCGTCTGATTAGTGATTAACGCTACGAACCAACATCAATAATGTCTTCTTTCTCCTATATCTCACAGCTCTTGTAGATGTACATGCACTAGGGATATCTCCCCATAAATAAAAAAAGGGAAAATTCCACTTTAATACTCTAAACTTTGGGGGTAGTTCAAGGTAGTACCTGAACTTTCAAACGTGTCATTACAGTACTTAAACTTTTAAAAAGTGTCAAGTGGGTCCCTACTGTTAACCGACCATCAGTTATTTGTTGAAAATTTTAAAAGAAAATTCCCAATTAGTACTTATACTTTGGGCCTAATGCCACTTTGGTCCCCAAACTTTAAAACGCAACAATTCAGTCTCTGAACTTTCAAAACGTGTCAATCCAATACCTGTTGTTAACCAACTGTTAACTAGTCGTTAAGTGGCATTTGAAAAGATGCAAATGCCCTTCGAGTGTCATCTAATTCTCTTTATAAACCATCCAAATGTTGACAAAAAAATGAGCAGTCCCAAATCCTTGCCTCTTCTATTCAAGAAAGCAAGGTCAAAATTTCATCATGTATCAGATATGCCCCTACAAGGGGTGTTTTGGGTTGACTCAGAGGGTAGACCGGCCTTAAACCGGCTCCTCTGAACCAGTTTCAAAAAATAAAAAAATACATAAAAAATAGTACCAATCGGCATTATCGATTTGTATCAATATTTTGAACCTTGCAAGAAAGTTGACGTTACATCTCAATGGGTGTTCTAGTGACCTCAACTTTCTTGAATAGAAGAGGTAAGGATTTGGGACTGTTCATTTTTATCAATGTTTGGGTGATTGATAAAGAAAATTAGAAGACACTTTGTGTCTTTTCAAATACCACTTAACGGCTAGTTAACAATAAGTATTAAATTGGCACATTTTGAAAGTTTAGATATTGAATTGTCGCATTTTAAAGTTTGAAGAAGTGATGGTTAGGCCAAAAGTATAGGGTATTAATTGAGATTTTCCCTAAAAAAATACAAGTATCAAAATATTCTCAATGCACAGCAAGGGCTGTGAGGATGGATTTAGTTAGGATGAAATCCGAACTAATCGTCATAAACCTTGTAGTGGACTCTTCCCCAACATGTAAGGCCCAAATATTGTAATCTGAAGATTCCGAGTCCAAGTGGTTTAACTTTAGGCTATGTTTGGTTTAAAAGAAAAGGTAGAAAAAGAAAGGAAAAGGTAGGAAAAGGAAGGAAAAAAATAGGGAAACTTATACAATTTTAATAAAACACAGCCTTAGAGATCTAGTTATTCAACTGGTAGTCTACTCTAGCACTCCCATATTCTCCTTTTACGTATCCAACCATGATACACGGAAGTCTCATATTTTTTTTAAGGGTAAAATACAAAAAACTCCCCTGAATTTTCTGGTTATCATAAAAACCTCCCCTCTAATTTCATTTTAATAAAAACCTCCCCTAAATTTAAAAAAAACTAAACAAAAACCTCCCTTCCGTCATTTACCCAGACCAGAAACGTAAAAACTTATGAAATTACCCCTGACTAATCTGCATGGCGTCATCTAAAATTTTTTTAAATCCCAAATTGCCCTCATTTGAGCAACAACACTTCCACAATTGGTTGTTTCTGTTCTTTTTCAGAGCAAAAGAAAATAACACCGCTGAACACTTGCAGCGGCGCCATTGCTCGGAATACCAAGAGTTGCTAAAATTTAAAACACACGCAAATGATTAAGAAAAAACAGATCGCTAGGTGTTTCAATATAAAGCAAACAGGATCGTGTCAATGAATCGCTGTGGCTATGGTTATGGCAGATGTGAATGAGTTCGACCATCTCTTTCTCTCTCCCCCGCTCTCTCTATCTCCCTCCTCCATCGGTAGGCCACTAGTAGAATTTTGTTTTGTTAAACGGAAGCAGTCAATGTGTCTGAACTCTAAAGCTCTTTCATTTCAATACAAGGATAAAAAGCCTATCTAAAATCCCCAAGTGGGCCACGCCTACCTGCTCTATATCATATGTTCTCTATTCTCGCTTTGCATTGGATGGTTTTGAAAAGCCAAAGAGGAAGAGTCCGACCAATGCTACATTTTAGATGATAAAGTTGAAAAAATGCCCCTTACCATTTGTCCAACTGGGCCGACTGGGCCAAAATTCTTTCTCAATTCAGGACTTGTCCGACCAATGCTACATTTTGGCCGACTGGGCCAAAATTCTTCCTGAAGGTAATAAAAGGTGCTCTTTTAATTTAAATACACGTATTGAGTATCGACTGGGCCGACGGGGCCAAAATTCTTTCTCAATTCAGGACTTGTCCATTACGGTTTACATGCCATTTTCAAATTCACTTCCTGAATGGAAGCTCCTGCTCCTCTTTCTTTCTTTGTCTCTTTAATTGCACCACTAGTCTGTAATCTGTAATTTCCCATTCACTTGGGGCTAGGTGAAGCCTAAGATGGACTCCCATGTGATTCTTTCTGAGTTTACAAACGAACAAACAAACGAGAAACGACAGATAGACATGCAGACAAATAACCAATGACTGTGTATGTGAAAGGCCCCATCTTTATTGGCTTGGTGTTGCTTCTGTTTATGGGGATGGCCTTCTACTTCAAGCTTTGGCTTATTGATTACAATTTCTCTTTTAAAGACAAAAATTGGACGAGATTTGATTCCATCAGTTTAGTGCTGGCATATATCGCATCAGTTTTCTTTAATTTCTATGGACTATGGTTGTTGATATTTATTGGCTCTTATTCTTCTTTCTTGGTTTAAAAGTGTATTATCGACAAAAGAACGCCATTCCCTTTTCTTGAATTCTTTTCGTAGGGAGGATGCCCTTGACGATTAATTAGGGATAGTTTTGTAATTTTATACGTTTTCTGTTTAAAAGGGAGTTTTTTGTTGAATTTTTTAAAAATTTAGGGGAGGTTTTTATTAAAATGAAATTAAAGGGGAGGTTTTTATGATTGTCAGAAACTTCAGGGTTTTTATATTTTATTTGTTTCACTCTTTAATGCTGTGGTTGGAACAAATTAGTGCTTAATAATGCAGATCAAGTTGAGCGGCACCGTTTGGTCATGAAACCCTTTTTTACCCCCGACGGAGGGATGGTAGTGTGATTGCAGCAAGATAAAAAACCCAAGAAAAATTTTCAGTGTTTAGCAGTTTAGGCTAAAAGGCCGCTTGCTTTTTGCAGTTGCAGCCCTAATTGCATTAATTAAACATTTAACCCCATCGTGAAGTATCTGGCCCGCCTAAATCAAGAGGGTTTTATAGTTCCTTAACTTTAACTGCGAGACTCCAGAAAACCAACAGAACAAAAAACTGGATAGACTATAGTTCATTTTCTTATGATAGCCTATAGTTCCTTAATCCCTCTTCAGTACCAACTGAATCTGGTATGATTGAGCATCAGAGGTTCAAAGATATCTACCAATAAGTCCTATTCCTGTGTTAATACACAATTCAATTTTTCATCTGTTTCCTAGTCCAGATTGTGCAAGTACCTGTCTCTGCATGACTAGGGTCGTTTGATCAAGTTGCCATTATTTGCAATAAGAAAATAGACAAAAGGGTCTTCGACATTTTTTGAAAGGCAAAATATGTAATATATATAAAAAAATTGTATTGGCAGAGGGGAAAAACCTCCACCTTCCTATACAAATGGCTCAGAGTGCAAACCCACGCATTTCAACTACACAACTGTAAGGGAGAATTTACATCAGCAATTTCCACTATGATCTGTTTCTAATGATTACAAAAATAAGAGAAATCTAAGTATCATAATTCCCTGTGTGCTTTAGACCAAAAAATTAGACACCTCTCCATACGTTCAATCAATACCATCTTCTTCAACATGAATGTTTAGATTTTCTTGTTTTTGAGAAATGGCACAGCAGCGAAAAACATAAATACATTCTTGGATATACAAATCTTCAAAACAAAGTAAAAACATGTTCAGTTTGATACTTTGATTCAGAAGCATAGCCTTGTTCCATAATCCAACAAAAAAGATGCTTTCAAAAACAAAAACAAGTTTTCACTTCCATGACCATGAGGCTGATGTGATCTGCTATCTGGTCCATGATACACATGTTCCATGAGGCTGTTGTGATCTATCAACCCACATTTATGGATTCCAAAGTATAAATAAAAATTAAGGTAAGCTAATATCCACATTGCACCTTTTATGAAACACAACATCAAATCACCAGAGGAATCCTTGAAACCAGAGATTCAAGAACAAGTTTCTAGTCTCAGTTCTAGAAACGAGTAAACTCTATAACTAATAACATTTTTTTTTTGCTTTTATTGTACAACCTCATATAGTAGATTTTTATTGAAAAGTCACCTCAGAGGTCAGAGCTTAGGGAATTCATAGATGCCCTCATTTCTTCCAAAACACGCCCCATTCACAAAATACACATCCTATCTTTTGAAACCACAACTTTTGATGTACAATACTTCTATATGCTTATTATGGATTTGCACCCGGTTCTGTTAGATGTCCTTTTTTAGTTCTGTCAAAAATCATCTTTACAGCCTAGATGCTTATAATCTCTCCCTCTATGTCCTGTGCTAAGGATTCCTCTAGCATTACAATCTTCAACACAAAATGTTGTCCATAGATCAAATTTTTAATGGATTGGATTTTATTTGATTGTCTAAGGCCTCATTGGTGTGCTCAAGAATCAATGCTTTTTCAAACCAGACATAGGGCCTTAATTTTGGAGCTCAATACCAATAAAGTTAATGTTGGAGACCCCCCCACCCCCCCTTAAAATTAAAGTACCATCTTTGTTTTTCTGAAGTCTTTGTACACAAAGAATTTCTGGATTACAACCTGCAGATCCCAGAATCCATTTATTTAAACTGAATAAAACCTAAAGAAAATTCTAAATGCATCAAGCCAATAATTACAAGGAAGAAACACAACAACAATTGATACAGAAAGGGAATGACAGCATGTGCTTACCTTTCCAGTGCTAAGATATCACAGTATTTTGAAGTCAGCTCCCTTCTGGCATAAGGTGTGCCCAACAGAACCAAAATTGAGTGCAAAAATGTCAGTAGCCACAATTAAAGGTCCACACATAGGTAAGAGAGGACAGATCCTGCCCTTCGCCTAGTTCTCTCAGAAACCTTGCACTTTTCCACTAAGACTTTCTTCATCTTGAGACAACCCGAAACCACAGTAGCTACCCCAGCTGAAGTCACAAATGGGCAGTAAACCATGTGACAAGATTCAAGCATTGCACATCTGCTAACAAGATATGTTAATCCAGCATCCGTAATTTGTCGACAGTGAGACAGCACTATGTCCTTGAGTAAAGGACAGCCTTCTCCAATTTCAAATAGTGCCATATCCCCTAGATTCTGTTGAGAGAGAGAGAGATGAGAATCTTAGGCCTATCACATTCCAGACATGATATAATCAAATTCTTTGTTGTACACTAAGACTTTCTTCATTTAGAAATGAAGTCACTCTTAGGAAGTTAAGAGTAGCTCCAATAGGTGATAAAATGAGAGAAAGTAGACTGAGATGGTTTGACCATGTGCGTAGAAGACCATCAACAACACCCATAAGAAGAAGTGATTAGTTACAAGTTGAGGGGGACAGAAGGGCCAGGGGTAGACCAAAAATGGCATGGATAGAAGTAGTAAGAAATGATGTAAGCATCAATAATTTAACAATGGATATGGCATTAAATAGAATGGACTGGTGAAACAGGATCCATGTAGTCAATCCCATATAGTTGGGAATTTGGGATAAGGTTTGGATGATGATGACACAATCCTAGAATTAAAATTTCCCCAGCCATTGAAACCAAAGAAAATTGAAGCTTGGGTTAGTAGGGATTATTCTTTACGTCATTCTTCTTTAAGATAATATATGGAGCTTTTTAGATCTTAGTGCAGAGCTGTCTATGCAGCCTATATAAGAGCCACCCAACAGTTTTGACCTAGATTGCAAAGGTGTTTGTTAGTGGATTGGACAGTCAAGTAAGGCTCATCCATTAGGAACTTGGAGTAATTGATGATTTCAGTGTTTCAAACGCGCAAGGTGCAAAATAAAGGGCTTTTTGTGCCCAAGGCACAAGGTGCAAATTTAAAAAAAAAATATATATATATATATAAGAAAAAAAAAATATAATAATAAAATATTAAAAATAGTGTAAATTAACAAATGCAAACTTTAATTTAAACTAAATATTTTAAAAAGCCTATTAGCTCAAATTAAAATATATAAACATAACATATGAAACATACTCAGCACTAAACAATTTGAGCACATAAAACTTGCGATCTTTTTACTTCTTTCCAATCACATTACTTCAAATAGACAATGTGATATTAAATATCTTTCACTCCTAATTCTACAAGTCTACGAGCTGCTTGAGGCATGCCTCTTAATCACTGGATGGCTCACTCATGGAAAGGTCCAAATGGCTGAGCCTGCAGGCCTATACAAAGAATAAATGTCAGAAGAGTTACTCCTGTAGCAGGACATGGAAGGTCTTCCAAGTTTCCACTCAACTTGATATTACCCATTAACATACCCACTATAGAACTTAGTAACTTACCACCGTATTGGTGAAGAAAAGTGCAAGATTCTCTTAAGTCCATCTTTTGGTGGCCATAATATTTAATAATGTATTGTAAAGTAAAGCCTTGAGAGAGAGAGAGAGAGCAGGAGGGTAGGAGAAACTGCACCTGAAGAACGCTTACATCTAGATAAACAAGTTCAGGACATCCTCTTGCAATTGCTATTAGTCCAGCATCACCAATTTGGTGGCACCCACTGACATTCAAATACTGTAGCGAGCAACCCCGACCAATAGCAATTAAAGCATCATCACCAACCCTAATTAAACAATAAATAAGATCACATTAAAACCCAATAATGTATAGAAGCTAATATAATATACTAACAACAATGTATATATTCTACTCCATACAAGCACAAAAAACACAATAATAATTGCATCACAAGCATTTCTGTCAACATGCTTGATATTCCAAATTCAACGAACTAATGTAATAAGACATGCATTTTATCTGAAGCATCATCATCCAACAAGTATCATCAGCCATCAATTCATCATTTACTAAGTTGCAAATTAAAATTTTAGAATTAACAATTCACATAAATTGCATAACATTAACATAGACAAATGTGTCATCATATTCAAATGAATGTGATGCATTAAAAGAAAACAGAGCTATGGTGCCCCGACTTCTATTTATTACATTTTATTACAATATTACAATAAACAAATTTGAAAGATTTCCATTCTTTATATTATGTTAGCATAGCCATATAATGGAGAACATGATCCCCCCCGCCTTACTTATATTAGTCTTGTTATAAAAAACTAGCTTAAAAGGTAAGACGTATTCCTCCTCTATAAAGTGCAACATGATATATGCCTGCCTCAAGCATCTTTATGCTTCTATTGTGCATTGCCAAGCTTTAGCACCTCACCTGCAGGCACAGATGTACACCTCTTAACACCTTTATAAACACTGAATATATGTTGGGCATTTATATTACTAATAGATAAAAGGCCATTACCTAATGTTGGCCCAGCTATCTGAGATCTTGGTCAGGCAAAGTTTGAGCATTTGAATTGATTGACAACATTTGACCCACTTAATGGCAGGACGTCCAAGACTGCTACTCCAATCACTGTAATTTTGATTGTAGCTAGGAATCATATGTTCAATTTTGAAACAAGTCACAAATGGAGATTCACAATGATGTCAATCAAGTGAGAGACTCGACAAGAGGATGAAAATCTTAAGAGCAAGTCTGGTTAGAAGGTTTGTTGAGTTGGATCTAGAAGAAAGGAATGTGATTGCTTGGGCTGAGTTTGAATGGGGCAAATATAGGGTGTCGGGAGTTAGAAGACTTAATGGGGGGTTTGTTTTTATTTTTGATTCACAATAGGAAGGAGGCAGAGTGGGTGTTGGAGTCTGAAGCTAAGAAATGCAGGGATTATGACTTACGTTTAAGCTGGTGGTTCCCAGTGGCAGGACTCAAGACGAGAGAAGAAGTAGATCAATGTAGATTGGAGTTCTGGGTATTCCTCTACATGCATGGAACATCTGCACTTCCATGGTGATTGGAGATTCCTATGACAAATTCTTGAGCATTGAAGAAAGAAACAAGAGCTGGAAGAAGATTGATGTCGCAAGAATCTTGTGGAGATGGAGGTGATCTCTAATATCCCTAGTGTCTTGGTCTTGCATTTTGTAGGGGAGAAATATTATCTAAGGATTTACATGGAGGGAGATGATTGCACCTTTTTCAGGGAATACATTAATGGTAGAGAAGTAAAAGGGGAGATAAAGACATCCGAGAAAGGAATTGACCTTCAGGTTCGCTACCCTGGTGAACAGGGAAAGCCGAAAGGTTGTTCGTAGGAGGAAGACGATGGAGGTTTGGGTTCCAAGGGTGAAGAGGTAATTTTGGGCACGGATGAATCTTTCCATGCAAGACACATGGAACAAACCAGTGGAAAATGTTTTGAAGGCTACAATTGGAGAATAAAAGATTAATAGAAGATTAAATTGATCCATGGCTTTTGAATGAATCTATTGGCCCTGGGAATGGGGAGCACTTTCCAAGACCAAGATTAAGAAGCAGTAGAAATATGTTGAGCCTAGCTTTCTAAGGGCAATTAAAGAGAAAGGAGCTAAGTTTAAACGCCACCGATTGGATTTGGTTTATTACTAAGTTTGAGAGGCTTGGAAAGAAGAGTGTGAACGTCGTCAGGTCTAATCAAGGGGCAGAGAAAAGTGGGAGGTTGAAGAAGGGAAAGCTTGAGAGGCATTTAGGTACAACCATCCATTTTGGGTCTTTTATGGTGGAGATTCCCTCTATTCTATCGCAAGTGATCAGGTCGGATTGTTCTAAACAAGGTAAGGCAAGGATCAAAGGGGAGAAGATAAGAAAGTAAGTTTAAGGGAAGAAGAGATGGGAGATGTAAGAGGGCAAAGGTGCACTAAGAAGGGGAGGAAAGGAGGAGAGGTAGTTGAAGAAGGTGAAGTTAGAAGTACAAAAGTTTGTAACCCAAGGGAGGAGAAAGCAACCTTTCTAAGGCTAGTAACTTTTCAAGAATTGAGGTCCAAGTAGGTAGACATGGAATGGACTTAGGTCAAAGAAGGAGACAAGTAAAGAAGGGGATGCAACTGTTTTAGAGGTGGCAAAGAAAGCCAGAGATCCAAATAAGTTCCAAATTGTTCATGTCTCAAAAGTTTTTTCAATACTAAAGGATGGTTTGATTGGTGTTGGTCCTACAAACAAGTTTAAGAAAGTCTAAAAGAAAAGAGGTCCTAGAAACAAGTTTAAGAAAGTCTAAAAGTCTAAAGAAGAAGCTTGATGAGAATCGGGGAGCGAAGCCTCAAACTATAAAGGGGGAGGATCTGCAACCGTGTTTGGTTCCTGTAGATGGTGTGGTTACTAGGTTGCTACCAGAAGAAAAGGAGGCTGAGGTTGATCAAGAGCATAAGATGATTTTAATTGACTGTGTCTATCATGGTGGAGGACAGAGGAAGAATGGCGGAGATTGAGAGTTTGGAAAACATGGATGTTAGGGTTGGAAAGAGTTTAGGCGTATTTTTTTGGTGGAGAGGAGTTTCTTAGAAGGGATTTTGAAGCATTTTAAAGAAGCAAGAGAGAGGAGACTCTCAAGAAGACTGTTGTCGGGGAAGGTGGGGTGGCATGAAATGAGGATGGGCACGGACAAGACGAAGCTTTTGAAGAGGAAGATTAAGCTTGTCAGGGGCCTTCCATTGTTTTTGTTTTGTAATCATTGTTCTATTGTTGGGGAATTATCTTAACACCCAGTTGTCGCTTGTATTTTGTTCTTCTTTCTTTTAATGAGTTTAATTTTTTATTTGAAAAAAGTAAGGTAATTCTATTAAATCAAGGCCTTCTATTTTTTATTTGCTTGTATTCTGTTCACTCGCTTCGCTCACTCACCAAGCTTTGAGAACTCCTTATTTGCTAATGTTGTTCATACATTCATTATTAAATCAATCATTATTTTTTGTATGTGAACTAAGAATTTAAGACCCTAACATGGATTTGTTTGGGCTTGCCTCGAGGGACGTAGAACAAAGGCGGCTCGTAGAATCAGGAATGTAATATGTTTTACATCACATTAGCTACTTTAAGTAATGCAATTGAGGAAAAAAAGAGATTGTGGGTTTTACATGCTTGAAAATGTTTTATATGTTTGATTTTATTTTTAAATTTTCATTTGAATACGCTTTACATGTTATGTTTATGTATTTAAATTTTAGATAATAGGTTTTTAAAATTTAAGTTTATATTTTTTATTAATATTGTGTTTAAATTTTTTTTTGCATTTTTTTAAGTTTTTATGAATTTTCTGACATTTTTTTAAATTTTTTTTAGTTTTTTTTTTCGTATTTTTGTGCCTTGCTTCAAAAAGGCGCATGCCTTGCCTTGCGCCTTGCACCTCAGGCGCAAATTGGCCCTTGCGCTTTTAAAACACTGATAGTTTCTAAGTGTCTTTTCTTTTCTGTCTCTAATTTGTCTCATTTCTCAATCTTCCAAGTTCTCAAGACCTCGTTAATGGCTCCTGGCTTCTTAGCTAAAACAAAGGAACTTGTCCCCCCCACTTGAGTTTCAATCCAAATAGATATTAGCAAAGGAAGTCATCTTCTTCAAACCAGGCATGTTCCAATTAGAAGATAGACTTCCTATAAGCAAAAACACCACAACTGAGCTGAATAGGAGAGTGATCTGAAACCGGCCTTGGCAAGGCTACTTGATTCAGGTTCTAGAAGAGGTTTTCCCATTCAGGAGAAAGCAAGAATATGTCAAGCTTAACCAAAGTTGGGGATGTCTTTATCTCCCCTTCTAGAAGAGGTTCTACAAGAAGTTTCCTCTTCTACCACCATTTCTTTCCTCCAAAAACCTTGTAACATTAAAGTCTCCTCCCAGCACCCAAGAGAGAGTATAAGAGCCTCTTGCCTCACCAAGGTCTTCCCAAAGTCTTCCTCTATCTAAATCTTCAGAAGGTCCATAGACATCTGTGACTAAGCCCCTCACACCCCCCTCCATTTCTAGAACCACCAAAATAGAAAAGTCCCCAACATGACTCAACCAGCTTATGGACTGATTGATCTATCCCACATAGCTATCAAGCCCCCTGTGCTTCCTCTTGCCGCTTTACTAATCCACTTGACTTCCCCTGGACCCCAAACACTTCTTATTATTTCTGCCTCCACCACTTCCAGCTTAGATTCCTGAAGGAACACCATTTCCGATCTCCATCTCTTCAACATATCACTAACCACCATTCTCCTTCTCGATCCCAACCCCCTGAAATTCCAAGACAAGATTTTTAACTCCATAAAAACAAAGCAAGAATAAAAACCCCCTATTTCTCTCACCTTCCCCTTACCCTTAGCCTTTTCTCCCCCTCCCCTTGCCGATCCCTCCCCTTTCCCTACCTTATCATTTAGACCCAATGACAACCTCAAATCTCCTTGTTTTTCTTCAAAGAACTCCCCCTTTTTTGCATTTAATTTTCATTTTTCTATCAAAACTCTCTTCTCTATTCCTTCTAGATACTCAATGGTTTCCTCTTCCAATCCCACTATGGAGATGCCCAAAATTTACCCAAACCCAACAATTTTGAATTCACCCACAATAACGTCGATCCTACCTCCTTTTCAGTCCCTGCACCTTCCTCCCCTCTTGTCTACCCCATAACCACCTCCTTTCCCAACCTCTTTTGTCCCCAACTGAGCATTACATATCTGGCAGCCTGAACTTCCTACAGGATAACTGCAACACCAAAGCAATATCCTCTCTGTCTTCAACTA